ATTATGACTGATCAGGTAATGCGCACGGGACTGCAAAGCAGCTGAGCAGATACAGCTAATCATATTGCATTTTTTATTTAAAATTAGAACCAGGCTGAGAAATGTTCCTGTATTTTCTTCCTTTCCCATTTTCATGTAAATTGGTGAACGAATGTCATATTATTTGCTCATATTCAGTTACAAGTTGTTCAAATTTTAGAATTTGGTAGAGTCTTCTGTCCAGTACTTTAGACTCTTTGGTTCTGCACTTTTCAATTAAATCCCACGAACAAGAGCTGGTGCAGTGGTTAGAGTGCAATACTGCAGGTTACTTCAGCTGACTGCTAGCTGCAGTTCAGCAGTTCAAATCTCACCAGGCTCAAGGTTGACTCAGCCCTCCATAGCAATAGCAATAGCAGTTAGACTTATATACCGCTTCATAGGGCTTTCAGCCCTCTCTAAGCAGTTTACCCCCAACAATCCGGGTCCTCATTTTACCCACCTTGGAAGGATGGAAGGCTGAGTCAACCTTGAGCCGGTGAGATTTGAACAGCCGAACTGCAGAACTGCAGTCAGCTGAAGTAGCCTGCAGTGCTGCATTTAACCACTGCGCCACCTCGGCTCCCATCCTTCTGAGGTGGATAAAATGATGACCCAGATTGTTGGGGGCAATATGCGAACTCTGTAAACCACTTAGACAGGGCTGTAAAGCACTGTGAAGCAGTATATAAGTCTGAGTGCTATTGCTATTTTTCTCCCACCCACAAATGGTGCTATCTACTGATAGACACTCATATTGGAGACAAGGAGGTTAAGCAAAGTGACTCGCTCACTTTCCCCACCCAAATCTTTACAACCGAATCAAAGTTTCCCATAGTTAGTTTAATTCACCTGTCTCTGAGCTGTGAATATGAATGTAATGCAAGGAAACAGATTTCATCTTCATTTTCCCCTTCATTAAACAACAAAGAATAAAGAAAAGAAACATCTCTTCTTCAGAATTTGAAGAGATACTTCCAATTCAAACAAATTCTGTCTGATACACAACAGTGTTCTATCTTCATAACTCAGTATAAAACATATTTATTAATTATGATGCAATAAAGAAAATAAAATATTTACTTTGTCAGGATTCCAAGAATTCAGCAGTAGAAATAATGCACTTATCTCCACTGGGAAATCTCACTTGATGGATCAAATGTAATTTTCTAGGAAAGCAGTGTTGCCTTATGGTGAATCTTATTGAGCACACGTATTCGTGAACCATGGCAAGTTGTTTGAATAAGAAACATCTCGGTTGGAAATCATATAGTCCAACCCAGCTGTGTTTATTTCAGTGCTTGCATATTCAAATAAACACCAACTGTTTATTTGTGTGTATGATCCATATACATATGTGAACATTCAAATAAATGCTCTCAGAAGTTTATTGAAAATATGTCAGAGGTAAAAAGGGAGCATGTGCGGTTGACTCTAGCTCTAAGCAATTTTGCTGGTTAAATCAGATACTAATGTTAAAATCTTGGATGGATGCATTTTTTTTAAAAAAAAGAGCAGATTAGATAGATTCAGCCAATGATTCAGCCTTTGTAAAATACAAGTGGATTTAATATAGGAGAACATACTCTTGGACTTGAGTATGAGAAAGAGATTCAGCCATGAAACTTACTGGGTGGCATTGAATCCTTGATCTAACTATCATATGCAGTACTTGTAAATTATATTGTATAACTGAGGTTCTCATGGTTGTGTTTTGCTGACCACTTGAAAAATAAAAGATGGATCTTGGCAGATCCTTCAAGAAATTTGGGTTTCATTTTGATTTTCTCCAAATCAATACATATAGAAGCAATAAAGTTAAATGCCACATTGTTTTGCGGAAAAAGTTATGTGAAAGTAAGTTATGAAATTGACACTATTTGTATTTGTGTTTGCAAATAGGCAGTCATAATAAAACCATAAGACTCTATGCCAAGGCTTGCTTACATACCCAACATTATGGCAAGCAACCTTGATCTATGCTATTGGAAATAGTTGATAGACATATAGATATATAGACAGATGGATAGACATACAGATATATAGACAGATGGATGGATGGATGGATGGATGGATGGATGGATGGATGGATGGATGGATG